GGACGGACTTTTTAGCAGGGCCTGTTGCAATGGCGCAAGGGGTAACGGTTTTAAACTAAAAGAGGGGAGATTTCGACTGGATCTAAGGAAAACATTTTTGACAAGGAGGGTGGTAAAACCCTGTCCCAGGTTGCCCGGAGAGGTGGTCGATGCCCCATCCCTGGAAACATCCCAGGTCAGGCTGGATGGAGCTCTGAGCAACCTGCTCGAGTTGGGGATGTCCCTGCTTAGTTGAAGATGTCCCTGCTCACTGCAAGGGGGGTTGGACTAGATGGTCTTGAAAGGTCCCTTCCAACCCAAACTAGTCTATGATTCTATGATCCTGTGGAACTGTTTGTTCTTTATGCTGTAGATGATTGGGTTCAGCACGGGGAACCAACAGGTAAATGTTGGCCAGGAGGACATGAACAAGAGGTGAAGCATGCTTTCCGAAACGGTGTACCATGGACAAGCCAATCACGGGGATGTACAAGATCAGGACTGCCAGGATATGGGACAGGCAGTTGTTCAAAGCCTTGAGATGCTCCATCTGGGATGTGATGCTCGCAATTGTCTTACAGAGCATAATATATGACAAAACAATGAACAATGGGTCTAGCACCTCTATAAGGATGACCACAGCTAACCCATACATGGTCTTGAATGTGATGTCTGCACATACCAGCTTGATCAGGTCCTGATGCAGGCAGTAGGCATGGGAGAGCACATGGGACTGGCAGAAGGGCAATCTTCTCAGCAAGAAGAGTGATGGCAGCACTCCTGTGAGGCATCTGCACCAAGCAGCCAGCCTGATCTTGCCTACCCTGGCACTGGTGAGGATGGAGGAGTATCTCCGTGGGTGGCAAATGGCCACATAGCGATGAAAAGCCATGGCCAGAAGCACCAAGGACTCCATGAAAGAGAGAGAATTAACAAAATAAAGCAGAGAAAAACTGGTTTCCCTGTAGTTGACCCAGAAAACACTCATCACAGTTGGCGTTGTGGACAGAGGCAAACCCGAACTGTTGATGGCCAGCATGGATAGGAATTGGTACACGGGCTCGTGGGAGCTCATATCACATGACTGATGACTGATGACTTGATGACAAAGAAGATTGTGCAGTTCCCCACGAGGGATGCAATGTAAATGCAAGTGAAAGGGAGACGGAAAGCCGGATGTGGGAAACCTTCAGCCCCAGGATGCCTGCCAGGATGAATGTGTAACAGCAGGAGCTGGGGCTGTTGAAAACCACATGATGGACCAGGGAGCATCTACACTGAAATAAAAAAACCCTTCAAATAATAACTGTACTGCCCTGTGGTGGTGCACCCCCCACCCCCGCCTCCTTCCTTGCTTGATAAACCTCGGCCTTGGAGCAGAGAGTTTGGCAGTTAAGGGCCCTTTGACTGTACCAAGCACTCTTGCGTAGATGGGAGTAACTCACCATCCCCAGGCAGCCTTGGAGCATAGCTTATCCAGCTGTAATTTGGGTGGATCAGTACTAGCATCACTGGGATGTCAAGAATTGTAGCAATTACCAACAAATGATTTGTGGCAAAGATGGAAATTTACTGATGCCTAAAATCAATCATCTCCCAGTCCTATAAACAGTGGTCCCAAGAGAGACCCTTTGAGCTCTCCTGGACCGCAGCGGGCTGCGACCAGCACCTCCCTCTGAGCGGGACGCCTCTCAGAGCCCGTGAACCCTCATGTTCACGATCAACTCAGAGGCTCAACTGACCACCCGCTGAGCCATGCAAAGCATTCCATGTGAGTATTAGATGGGATTCGAGGGGGGACGTTTAAAGGCAGCTTTGTACATATTTATCTCTTCTCTTTATATCCCTTTAAGTGTCTGATCTTAGTATGTTGCTATGATTTAAGACTGTGATTTGTCTTAATATCATTAGTCCTAGTAAGTTTTAGGTTAATCATGTTACTAAGTTTTATATATATATATATATATATGATTTGATATTGTGATTTATCTCAATAGTGCTAGTGAATTTGATTGTTGTTATTTTAAAGTTACACCAAGCACTACACCAGAATCCCCGATACTCTATATCTCTTAGACATGATCCGTTGACCAAGTCTGGGACTAGGAGTGGATTCAGCTGCAACTAGACTCGTCTCTGAGAAGGAGTTTAGAAAGCATGGGGGTCCACCCTGAACCTCGTGACTCAACGGGAGGGCATTCCTTTACTTTCCTTACCTAACCTTAGTCATAAACCATTGACCAAGTCTGGGACTAGGAGTGGATTCAGCTGCAACTAGACTCGTCTCTGAGAAGGAGTTTAGAAAGCATGGGGGTCCACCCTGAACCTCGTGACTCAGTGGGAGGATCTCCCCTACTTTCTCTCCTCAGTATACATATAAGTCACATTAGCCTGGTTCGATCCACGAGCAAATCATTCCAATCTAGTTGTAAGCAGAAAACACGCATATGCATATATGCAGATGATACAAATTTCATAAATTACCCAGGCTCATAGCAGTGGTTAATGGATGTGCTGCTGATTATTTTTCCCTTTTCTTTGATGACTGTGGGATAAAATATTCATGAATAAGAGAAAAATTTATACAAAAGCATCAAGGAGTTTTGAAATTTATCAGCTACCTCAATATGTTAGAGGTTCCCAACAGCAATGTTTGTTTTTAAATGCTACCGCTTTAAAGTCGTAAATCGTGATTAGATCACACATGTCCATCCAGCAGTGAGTTATGCTTTTGCACTCCCTGTGATCCAGATTTTGCCTTGGGAAGGTGGATTACAGTACTGAGGATGTTTTCATTTTTTTCATGATAAATATAACTTGTTATCCAGCAAAACCTGTAACTGTTCATCCAATAGATAAGAATTGAATAATGTCTTGAAAAAATTGAAACACAAATTTAATGCAAATTTCACCTGAGGTATCGGCAGAGAGAAAGAGCTTTCAGAGGAAGAGAGCTGCAGGAATAAATCTCGTGGCAATGCAGAGTCCCCAGCGTACGACATGCGGAATAGCCTGGACAAGGCAGGCGGTGCTTGTGAGTGAGACAGGGAACCGGAGACGCGATGCTGGCTGCTTAATCCCTCCTGAAGGGAAACCCTTGGATCCCTGCGTGACAACAGAGTCGCTGCCACACATGAGGGATCTTCCCAGGGAAATAGAGGTCCAGAAACTTCAGGAAGAGCGCTGACAAAGAACATTATATAAGATCAAACCTTGCAGAGTTATATCAAAGTAGAGACTTTTTTCTAATTCTCTGGGGAAACGAGTCCCTTACTGAAGGACTAACTTAGTTTAGACTACATGATGGGCAAAAGAAAAGCTAAATTGATCTAAAAATTTTCCACCAGTCGGTGCATGGTTGACAGTGATGACTCTTCAAGCACAACGTGACCCAGTGACTGGAAATTGAAGTTACACAGAAATTGGATGAAATAAGACACTGCTAGTTTGCAAATCTGAAAATAAAAAAGAACAGGTGATAAGTTCTTCACCTTTTGGAACTGTAAAGCTAAGAACAGAAATTCTTCTGAGATGTATGCTTTGCCTGAAGCCTGTACTATGGGCTTGATGAGTAAATTGGTTACGAAGTTCTTCGTGAGATGCAGGATGTCAGAACAAATAACCACAGAGATCTCTTCTGAATTTAATATTTTCCAACTCTTCTGTAACCAGGAAAAAAAAGCCACATGAATTAACATATTAATTAGAACAGAGAGAAGGGATTAAACACTCTTCTCTTACTTTGTCATTGAGTACCATATAGCAAAACCTCTAAGCATCCAGATCAGGTTCTGCCAGTGCTGTCTGAGGTATGAAACCTGACGGCAACGGTCCTGCCCTTTGCATTTCAGAAACTTACCGAATTCTGCTGGCACCAAGGCTCAGTTTTCACTGCGGTGAGGAAGCCCGAGCCAGACTCACCCTGTCCATAAACAGCTGCTTAGGAGGTCTCGGAACCCCCCAGGGACCCTGAAGGAAGGTACGTGGGGGAAGAGACAGAAAGAACGGGGAATCAGGGCCAAATCTGCCTTCACAAGCACTGGCGGCCGAGCCCCGGCTGTGCGAGGAGCTGTGCACGCACCAGAGAAACCTCCTTCTCCGCGTGGTGCTCGTGCGACGCAAGGCAGCGCCGG